AAACGCCAAGAGTGAATGTGAATATAAGGTATAAAATTATGAGTATGAAACAAGATGAACGAGGGTTGCAAATAACCCTACAGAATATCACGAATGAAAAGGATAAGTTTATGTTATATGAACCTATTGTAGATGCTAATTTTATATACTCATACTGTGCCACTTGCCATTCAAGTCAAGGGGCGAGTGTAAAGGGAAGTATAACAATACACGAATACAACTTACCAATGGCGAGTAGAGCATGGCTGTATTGTGCAATAACAAGGTGTGTTGATTTTAAACAAGTGAAGTTCTATCACAATCCAACATTTGATAAACAAATGGATAAAAATATGATAATGAGATACTTTAAAAACAAAATAGAAGGTTATAAAGCACAAGATAAGAAAGCATCAAGAGAAATAGATGAAGCAAAATACATAACTCCCGAATGGTGTTTAAACCGAATGCGAGGGAAATGTGAAAAGTGTAATGTGCCATTCAATTTTGAAGTTGTGAAGGGTAAGTTATGTAGTATTTTTTCGTGTCAGCGCTTGGATAATTCAATCGCGCACCATATAGATAATTCAACTTCGTATTGTGTTTATTGTAATTGTAGCTCCCATTAAAAAGGGCTTAAAGAAAAGATAGTTTAGGATATATAGGGATATGAATAAATATCAAAATGGCAAAATCTATAAGATAGTGGATGTAGGGTATAACAAATGTTATATAGGTTCTACTTGTGAAGTGTTGAGCCAGAGAATGGCGAGGCATAGAAGCAATTACAACAAACATACAGAAGGAAACGACAAGAAATATGAAAGGTCAATGATGCTATTTGATGAATTCGGTGTTGAGAATTGTAAAATTGAACTGATTGAAAATTACCCGTGCAATAGTAAAGATGAACTTTTCAAACGGGAAGGGCACTATATCCAGCAGTTAGACTGTGTCAATAGAATACAAGTAGGACGGACACGAAAAGAATATTACAACGACAACCAAGAAGATATTTTGGAAAAGAAAAAACAATACAGACAAGACAACTTGGAAAGGTTGAAGGAGAAGGATAGAAAGTATCACGAGGAACATAAAGAGGAACGAAACGAATACAGAAAGAAGTATTACGAACAAAACAAGGACGAGTTATTAGATAAAGTGAAGGCATACACCGAAAACAATAAGGAAGCATTAAAAGAAAAGTGGAAGAAATATTACGAGGAAAACAAAGAAGCCATACGGGAAAGAAGCAAAGTCAAAACGCAGTGTGATTGCGGTGGGCAATACACACGGGACAATCGGGCTCAACATTACAGGACACAAAAACATCAAAACTATTTAAAACTGTTAGAAGAAGAAAAATAATATCTTGTTTATTA